CATCAATGGAACATAATCAAACTAAACGAGGACAGGAACATGACCAAATAATGAAACACAGGAAGGACTACGGGGGCAAAACAGGTCCAAAAGTCTAGCAACACAAAACATAGCAACAGTAATAATAACACCAACGAACTTACTTCAGGGACATTAAAAACGCATGTTTACTACACTTTGTACACTTTGTACTACAGTTCTTCTATATAGTGGTCAATGAATCTGAAGTCTCGCACATTCTCAGAAAATGGCTTTACTTCCATGTTGCAAAATAAGGTGGATATATAGTACGAATGTCTGTAGTATGAATGAAATCGAAGCCTACAACATCTGCGTTGGCTGTGTCATGTGACCTCAAGGGATAGTAAAGCTTCCATCGAACGCACACTCAAGAATCTCAACAGAGGTAGTCATCCTGGGAATTTTCACCTACTGTTTTTCAGATGCTATTAAATGATGTTTGTCCATAATAGATGCTATTATGGACAAACTACTCTTTTGGCATGCTGTTTTTATTTACCAAGTAAGTAGGCATAATAGGCTGCAGCGTATAACTTATTTGTCCTTTTTTGGATACTCTAGTACTTGCCCACTCAGCGAGCCCATAGTGTCTGCAATATTATCTCACATTTTATGAGAGAAAACATTTGATTATTTGATTAGGTTTGATTATGCACGTTTAAATGTTTCATACGCAAAAATAAATAAACAAATGAGTATTAGAAGATTAACCTCCAGTGAAACAATAATGATATGGCAATTACATAATAACTAGTAATAAAAACAGAAATGCAGACCTGCAGTTCTTCTTCTGCCAGCCTTAACTCCTTTTCTATTTCTTCAATTGATGCCTGCAGTTCAGCCCTGTGATGCTGATGGTTGTCCAGTTGTTCCTTTGCTATAACTACAGATTCTTCAACACTGGGTCTGGCTTGAAGCACACCATTTCTCTTGGTTTCAAAAAGCAGCTTGATATCTCGCTCTAGCTGCTCTGATTGGTTGTCTGTGTCATGCAACCTTCGACTGTGTTTGTCCAGAGCTAAATGGAGTTCATTTTTTTGCCGTAGAATGTCCTTTTCTCTTTGAACCTCAGACTGAAATTCATTTTCCCAGTGCAACGCGTGGGCCAACTCTGTCTCGTTCCGCCCTAAAAGCTGCTGTAGGTGGTCCATTTTCTCAAGGAGGTCAGGGGAAAGGGTTGGAGGAGGAGCCCGCTCCCAAATGCTCAGCTCCCTCTCTAGAGACTCTACCTGTCCCTGCAGAGACTGTAGCTGCCCTTGTTGTCGTAGTATCTGCTGATAAAGTGTGTCTTTGGATGGACCAGCTTGGGCAAGAGACGAGGGCGGAGATGGGGACACCCCTCGTGCTTGGGAGTCTCTTGGTGGTTTTTCAACCTGTTTTACACGAGTTCGGGGTGATGTGGAGGGCCCCAGATTGAAAGTAAGAGCTTTTTTTGGCTCTTTGAGTTTGAGGGGCTCTGGATCTGGAGGTCTGGGTAATTGCGGGGCTCTACCTTGGACTGAGGCTTCGCTGCTTGTGGGACCGGTGCGCCGTAGGATGAATTGCACTTCATTGCCTAATTGGCCCAGTTTAGCCAGGGACTCCAATGGGCGTTCATTGGCCACAAGCTGCCGTTCCTTATCCCGCAGTTTCTGGATAAGAACATAACGACCAGTTTGCCCTGGAGAGCACATTAAGAGCGAACGTTAAAATACAAACGCACTAGCTGTTCAAAGAGCAAAACAGAGAGAGGCTCAATAACTTACCTATAGCCTGGGCAAGGGCAATGACTACATCCTGACAAGATGTCTGTTCTGATAGGCCACAGACAACACGTGGAATACCATCCACCCACACCTTCAGCTCCATGACTGTGAGAAAGTCAGTAAGGAGCGTCTCTACATGACAGTGATCTGCTGAACAGATACAACAATTAAAATACAGAACAATTACTTACAATATAGAGAATAACTGCACTTAGAAAACCACCAAAATACAGTTGTGAACTGTCAGGCACTGATTGTTAAAATGCTTGCTGAGAAACGATTATCATACTCTGCTATGTTCGAGGGAGATTTTTTAAAAAGCCTTGCAATATGTATAGAGAAACCGGTGTGGATGTAAAATGTCTTAAATGGGTTTCTGAAGGTACACAATTGCTTTATATGATGAATATTTAATATAGGCTTTTATTCACATGGAAATATTGATCAATGCACAAACATACAGCACATGAAATATGGTAAACAGAAGTACAATCTTGCTTGCTTGCAAACATCATTGGTTCATGGATTACATTCGCAATGTCTGTATGAACATTTTGAAACATCAACGGTTTGGTTGCATTAACTTTCCATGGAGGGACAGAAATCTATTACGTTTCACTACAAAAATCTTCATTTGAGACTTGACGATGAACTACACTCTTAACGGTTTGGAAAGACGTAAGGATAAGTAAACAATGACAGAATTTTCATTATTGGGTCCTTTTTTTAAATGAAGGCTAAGTAGCTCAGGTCACACTTTAAACTGGGAACATTCCAGATTCTGGTACTTCAGATGTGAAAATTGCAACTTTTACTTAAATGTAATAGTTTAAACTAACTAAACTAACCGAAACTATAACAAGAGACAGTGCAAAAACACACTCCAAATGTTTTGCCATTCGATTATGAGGAATGCTGCTTTACAAGTCAGAAAATGGCAAAGTGTGCCATGGATTAAACCAATGAATGCCATAATGTATTAAAACATTGTTACTGTTAGATAATGTTTTTAGAGTACATCAGAAAGATGTGTTGTGATGAAGATTCACACGTCATGTAACTGTAAGAACATGGTTCAAAAGAGCATGATCACTTTTAACCTGACACCACATTTCCCTAGAAGTACACTCTTAAAAATAACGGTGCTTCAAAAGGTTCTTCACAGCGATGCCATAGAAGAACCATTTTTGGTTCCACAAAGAACCATTCAGTCAAA